ACTAGACAATACTCCGGCTAGTAGTTTATTGCCGTTGTAATGATACTTTTAAAATAGGTTTCAATAATACTTTTTTTTTGTCCTGTTGGACAACTGGTACGCTTGCCGACACACAGATGGGCAGGTCCTGCGTTGTGAAACCTCTCCATCTGGTCTGCATTTATAACAAAATTAGTAAAAGGAAACCAAAAAAAGCTCAATTGGTGCCGTCTCATACCTCGATCACATCGGAGATCATCGAATATCTGAAGATCCAATCGATATTCATGGATTCATTCTCCAGCATATCCTGCAGAGAACGATGTTTCGTTTTTAGTCCATATGCCCTTATTTGGCCTTCTCATAACGACGATAATAATAAAGGTCTTTTTCTAGCTACTAATGTGGAATTTTCATTACCTAATGAAAAGTGTGCAGGAAAAATTGCAGGAGTCATGCACTTCATCATATCGTAAACACTGGAGGCTTTCAAGACATTAATGACAAGTTGACCTATCGCCGGAAGCGTGTTTGAGCTTACCCTAAGACTTCCTCGTGTGCACAACTCTGTAACCGTGACAAGATTTGGTTCGTCTGGGCATATACCAATGAATCGCACCAAGTTTTCGTGATTAAGGTCGTGCACCTTTAGACAAACAACAAAAAAATTGTTAGGTTAGCAAACCGCACAATGGCGGAGAGCTTCACTTTTGTCAACCACCCCAGCTGTATTGTGCGTCTACCTAACGCTACCAAGGCAAAAATTTCCCACTTTTTTCGTTGGCGTCGAACGTAGAAAAACCGGAGGCTCCTAGGTAAACGCGTCGTTTAACTACTGTGGTAGTGATGCATTGTACCATTAATTAAGATTAACCGCAGAGCAACTTTATATGAACTTTCAAATAAAAATATTAAAATATATTAAATTAATTTATCAAACAGTGGTTCACGTTCAGATCGTGGCAAAACGTTTATCTATCTCAGATAACTTCTACGGATGCAGTTGGGAGATGAATATATGCCTTATCTTTTCAGTAAGATAACGCCTTTTCATTGTTCTTCCAAGAGCTGTAGAGTAATTGTTTGAATTATCTGTATGTACGTTACTCGTCGCAATTCTGATTCTCCTTACCTCTTTCATTTCTTTCAGCAAAGTCCGACTTATGTGAAGCTTTTTTATGTCGAGTGATTTAACGGCAACACGAATTTGCTGGAATGTCAAAGGCGAAGGATTTAAGGCCAGTTAAAAAAAACTACAAATTTTGGGATTAAAAACGTTAGTCGATGACGGATTTTCTTCACTAACTTCAAGGTAAACACTCTACGTTCGATATCATAAGAATAAAATATAATAAATTTCTCTTTATTTATTAGGAATTCAAGTTTGTTTTGATCCTACTTACCTTATATGTGGCAACACTGATACCTAAGAGGTTTAAATTGTTCAGTGTGCTAACGTTCGACGTAGATTTGAAGTTCGATTCTGCGGCACTCTGTAAAGGTTTTATTGGAAACTCCGATTGATATAATTGTGTATGCTTTACTAAAATGCGTATAATGTTTTATTTAATTATGTATAAATAATGATCTGTAGGAATCGTTTACTTAGATAAGCTAAACAGTTGAACAGAACTTTACGTACAGATCGACTGGCGACTGAAGAGGTTCCTTGTGATGGCAGGGATCCTCGACTTTTGTCCGTATTCCTATCGGAAAAAATCAGATCCTCATAGCTAATTTTCCACCATATATCAGCCAGCTGGGATTCGTATTTCAGTTTACGGCCGATTATGAGAGCTAAATAGACAACAACAATAACAGGAATTAGTATGAAGTCCACCGGCGGATAGCGGGTGTGAGACCTGTTACAGCATGACTCTTTAGCGTCCTTAATCCTGCATTCAGGACCCGGAACCAAGCTTTTTGCTGGAAATACCCCAAGCTTAATTTAACTTGATATACCTATTCATCCTTCAAACTGTCAAATTTAAAATATTTTAATAGATACTATACAAAAGTTCGCAGCTTATGAAGAACAAGCATGACTGACATATTGTGCATGTTTCGACAGCCCGGTGCTGGCTTCTCGGACCCCATTGAACGATTTGACAGTTAGCTAGTAGCAGGTATGACAGCCTAAATGGTGATGTCTCGAGTACTCAGGATAAACTGGATTTTGTGAACGGATTACACTTACTAACTATACTAGCGATTAAAATAATTCCGGAGAAGCCTGACGCAACTGATATTATAAGATTTCGTAGGAAATCGTCACGGCAATGATCACCCTTGAAGCCGCAACGAGGTCTATTGAGCGGAATTCCTCGCGGAAAAATGAAGTCTTTTCCCCGCATCATGTCGAATTTCTGAATAGTGCCCATAAAGCGAGCCACCACCTAGATGCAGTCACGTAGGAAGGACGTCAATTGGAAATCAAATTAGAAACATTACCGCTGGTGCAAACTGCGTCGTATTTTCTCATATCATAAACTGGTAGATAGATGGCTTTGCATTTACCTGAAATCCTAGTTTGGGGCTTCTCCATACTTGAAGGGTGTAGTCCGCCTCTCGGTCCCCATTGGGGCCCAGCGTGATATTTCCAATAAAGCCGACACTATTTTGTTCGGCTGTAAAGGCAAATGCGCATTATGATACAGCGCAAACACAAGCAATGTAAATTTAAAAAGACTGAAAAACATCACGACATTTTATACAAGGAAAAAATAAAGAACGTATAGGAAAAAAAATCCGAACGAGCAGGACATCACTCTAACAGTGGACATGTTGATGTTTTGAGGGCATTTATCACAGAATGGTCAATTATATCCGAAATATCTAACTTTGATTCGTTCCTCAATTTGGGTCACGCAGGTGATTGTTTTGGCTCTGAGTTTGCTCTCTTTTCACTATTTATGTCGTAAGAACACCACACCGAGCGGCTAACCGATTAAAAACTCAGCTTTTTTGTTTTATCGACGATTATGCTGATATCAGTAGAAATAGTCATTGGAGCCTTTATTTGCAATTCTAATACAACATAATAACATAAATAGAAGCAAGTAAACGTTCCACCCGTCGTCTTACTTTCTGTCAGTGATCGATTCCAGAAGTTTCTAACAACTGTCTTCCCGTCATATGCGTTACCCTTGTTAGTTAATGTCTCGTTCAAGCATAGCGCATAGAGCATTACGCAGTCGTAGAATGCAGCAACGACAGGAGTAATTTCCTCCTGAAATATTGGTTATACAAAAAAAAAAAGTCGCAAAGAAAATGGCCGACTGTCAGCACGAGATGTGGTCCAGTCAATAGGGTACACATCAATATATAACATCGTACCGAATCATTCTATCTTGTTAGGCGAAAGGAACGGAAAAAATTGTCATGGAGCCAGCAAATTATCTGATACTTCGTAGATTACATAAGTACATTGGTCTACTGTAGGGCGTCATCTGTGTTGGACTTATGTGCAAGAAGGAGACAATGCGAGCGGTATGAAACATGTTATATAAAAGTAGTCCCTATTACAATCGGAACTATCGTTTGTGACAGAAGTTAAGGTCGACGCAAGTGTTTAATATTTTTTTCCATTCATATGGTCAATCCACACAGAATGTGGAAAACCGTAAAGGGAGTACTTGTCCGTAGATTTGCAGTTCGTAGAGATCGACTAGGGCCTGTGGAGTAAATAAACATTTGCACTTTGGGTTATGCAAAAAGGGGCATAGAGCCGTACTATAGATTAACGTCCTACCTTTCTGACAATCTCTGTAAGGCCATATTTTTTCATGTTGTACGTCATAAAGGCAATCAGGTCGTTTTTGAATTCGCGACGAAAGCGATCAGTTTCGGGGACCATGGCGCTTACCACCATTACATAGCTGAACATCTCTTTTACCTTCTGAAACTCATTCATCGGGAAAAATCGCTTCTTGCATTAGTGACATCACCCTCATACGTTGGACAATGATTGTTGACAACACCCGAAAATTATGCTAATTTAGTGCAAAGGGTATGAAAAATATGCCATTAGTTTAGATAAAGCCATTTCAGAAATATTAATTACAAGCAAAAAGTATTACGAGCTCGTTAAGTAATTGTTCATATAGCAGCACAGTTCAAAAAGCGTAAGTACCATTAAGTTTCCGTCGTAATCTTCGTTAAGAACCTTCGTCAGGTTATTTCGGACGGCGTTTCCCAGCAGGTTAACGTTGATGAAAACGAATTCCCCATTGTTCATGTTGAGGTCGTGTCCGACGAGGAGTACGCGCCGAAGAGCTTCGGCTTTCGAGAGGATAAGAAACACACGAGCTTTGTCTTTCGCCAGCTTCAACTTCCATGAGATTGATGCGGTACTGTCGGAGCCATTGAACAATACTTTGTCCGGGAACACTTCGTGATTTTCGCCCAAGTCCCCCAACAGCTTCTGCGATGCGAGCAGCTTCTCAAGAGAGATCGCTGTACTGGCGTCGATGAAAGAAGACTCATCGACGAGTATAACGATGTTGTGCCAGACAAATTCCTTTAGTATCTTGAGAAGGAACAGGCTTATACGATCAACCGAATATGACATTCGGGTCAAAGTACTATAAATATCTTTCCTCACAAAGCGCTGGTCAATGCCTCCTGCGCTAAATGAAGGCACGTTCCAAAATGCGGCCATGCGTGCCACATGATCAAGCGCTATTTCACAACCGGGTCCAATGAAAACGCTCACATTGTATCGATAATAGAGCTGGGCCGCTAACCCACCAAGAGTGTTCTGGTCACAATTTTCATTCGAGATCCGTGCTACGTAGTTGAAACTAACTGAACGGTTAAATATTTTATTCGCTTCTCTGATAGCCATTTCGATCGCTGGTACCACTACCTTCGCATCGAATCCGTGATCGTCACTATTTATAAAAATCGATGCGATAGTCGCCTTAAATACATCGTCCCTGGGACTACTGGATGTGTCATCGATTCGTAGTATGAATGAACGGTCTCCTTCATGCACCAGTTGTTCCATCTGAATGAAAAGGAGGACAAACGAAGAGAACTAAAGTGTGAGCTGATGACTAGCATCATCGTTTAACCCTGCCTCGTGTGACCAACGAAAAAAGCTTAGTTTACGAAGTATCAATGCAGACCAATAGTTGTCGGTTATGTCGACAATGTTGAGACTATGAATCTAGAAATGCTACGAGAAAGCGTGCTTTAGGCATATGACTCGGGCTATCTGCTATCTTTCAGACATTTCTGTATAGCTTACACTACTCTAGCAGCAGTTATCCCAACATTAGTTCTGAGCGCCAATGGCTAAAATTACAAACTATATAGAGTCTGAAAAAAAATTTTTCATTAAATATCTCCGAATGACTTTTTTTTTTCTGTAAAAAGATAAAAATAATCTTTTTTTTTTTAACATTTTAGGGAATTTCTCTTGTGTATTCCACCATGCGTACTTTGAATAGATGGAGTAAGTAGCAACAGATGTAGTCCCTCTGGGCAGTGGTACCGCAAAGCAGCCTTTTAAGTAGTCAGATTATTAAAGATCGTTCTTGTATGGCACGTTTATTGCAAGGAGTTGTAATAAAGTTTGATGTGACCGCACCCCTTTACTTTGTAGCGTCGACTGCGTGCTTTAGCTAACTATACAAATTTCTCGTTGTAAAACGTATTCAAATCCAGTAATGCCCGAAAAGGGTACCACGAGCGATTGCACTTCTACGGCAGAACCGCCGAAGAGTCATATGTTCAAGAATAGTCGCGGGCACCATACCAAAGCAGAACTTCCTAGCTTTAGCTATTATGTAGAAGTACATAAACTCTACAGAAACCTTCAGCTACTACCTTTGGCCGCGCTGTATTATCTAACAATGGTCGTTTTCGGATTCTGCAAAGATTCTTTCTCGACATCCCGTATACGGAAACTCAATCGCACACATCATAGTGGATCTGCGGTTTCATCTACAGTACCGAATGTGCATAGGCCACCATTCGTTTTCTGACGATCTTTGTGGGCTGCCTTTTTTTGCGCCATTACACGCTCTCTCCCAACAGAAACTCCGCTGCTATCCAGATATCCACGTCGGATTCAAAGTTGGCCGTTAAAGTTGGCGTTTACAGCCGGCCAGGTTCCTGCGCAGTGACTTGGTTCTGGCTATTAAAAACGGCTTATGATGCTGAGATTGTGACCGTTACAAATTTCAGAGCGGCGCAGATACCCAGTCATAAGATAGGTGTCTCAGATTGTCATAACCAAGGCCGTCTCCGTACGCATGTCTGTAGAAGCACCGAAAATGGAATACAATGCTTATTCACATATGTAGATATCGTATGCGGCGTACGTTTGCTTAATGGTAGTAATGATTTGAAATCGGTCAACAGTAGAAGCGTGAAGATGTTGATCCTCTGTCACTATTAGAATATTTTGTCAGAGAAATGTTCTCATCCTTAGCAATGACCCTTTTCTCGTTCATATCATGCACTGTTGCACGTTTTTTTATAATATCCGTAAGATGATGTCTCGTTCTTATACTCTGAGCCTTAATGTAATGAAACGGATGACTATTTTCAAAAAAAAAAACAGGAACTAATTCATAAAGAGATTTGTTTAAATTTGTTCGTATTCGTTTAATTGCCCTATTTCAGAACATATATGATCGAAGACGCACTTAATAAGGAGTCATATTAAATTTTAGATGAATACTTTACAAGCCAAATAAAAGTACTTTATTTGAATATTTAAAAAGGGCGAAAATCCAAGTTGGTTATTCTTAGTCATATTAATAGAATAGTTTTATACTTTTCAGATAAACGTTTTCAGCTTATAAATGCAGCCAGTCAAAAGCAGCGTCGTTTTGGCTTTGCGTGGAAAACATCTTCACTGAAATCTCTCAGCGCAGATATCCCGGGATGAACAACACTGTCTCAGGTGCGACATTAACAAAACAGGATACCTCTAAGCCTCGACCGATCAAATTTGGTGTACTTCAGATCCCTCGAATTCTTCTAAAGATTCGAATTATCATGTGTAACCAGTTTCAGTTTTACTGCGGAATGTACAAAAAAAAAGACGGTACTTCAGCGAATGTTAATGCGAAATGCTAACTACCAATGCGAGCCTATTATTGAAAGACGGCTTTTTTATGTACGCACCCAATTCACATAATGGGTCTTATGGATTTTCCTTTCCTACCCATCAGCCGTCAAAAACGTGCCGTCTTTCTTTATATTTAGCTTCGTTGTTTACAGGCTATTACGTTCAATCAGTACCAAATCGCGTAAAGTGTTTTCTGTGCTTTGAACGCTTGTCTTGCTTTATTAGCTAAGTATGGCTACAAGTTCAGACAAGTTCAGGCAGGCCCTATCGCAGAATGAAACTAATGTGAATCCCTTCACGATACAATCGTCTTTTTCTTTTTTTTTTTTTTTTTTGATTTATATACCGTATGCAGAATTGAGTCTATGAGGTTTCATTCCAAAAGGAATTAATTAGAGAAGTAATTTTAGAAGCTAGCTTAGGTCTTTTCTTAACAGGAGAATAAGAATTATTTAAGTCACCAAACAAATTGGTCAAAGGGCAAAATCGTTTATGCGTAACGAATAGAGTTTTAAAATTGGCTGTATCTTATGACATGTACCACTGCCTTTAGATTAGAGAAAAGCTGATTACCTATTTAGAGGAATTACCTATTAGAGCAAAAATGGACCTAATAAGATAATTCATTAGCATCATTCTGTAATAAAATATCTAATGTGTAGATTACGGGTTCAGCGGAGTGCACCATACGGTTTATGTTGGCCCCTAATTAGTAGCAAGTTGGCATCATAAAACGGCCTTTAGAAAGCAAAAAACACCAAAGCGTCTCTAAGCAAGAGGTTGTTCGATGGCCAATTTCACTATAGTGCCGTTAGATTGAAATTTCTACGTCAGGATCTCGGCATCTAGCCATAGAAAAGGCTAGACGTTGCTTGAGCAGCGACACTGATCACGGACTCCTTGCGGCGTGTCAAGTTCATATACTGGCAAGCACACAATGTAGACTCTGATTCTTAGCAGGAACATCCAAGTGATGAAGGCAGTATTCTATTAAAGAACCATCCATTTACAACATTATTCATTTACAAGGTCTACATGTTCCCAGCAAACGGTACAAGTTCACATGATGTATCCTCTGCGCACTATGCAAGGAGTCGTTAAACAATACACAATGCTGATTTAGTCCGGCGACTTGTCATAAAAAGTTTTGAGGGTGGTAGAAAATTAATCTTAGAAACGGCGGTAAAAAATAATGCGAATTATAAATTTTCTGACCATATTTTCTCTCCTTTGCACATACCTCTGTCGATTCAAATGTCGACTTTTGCAGTCGGGTCGCAAACAATAACGCATGCACAAGCACTCTACCCAACGCCATGGCGGCTTGCTACCCCCAAAATGCAACCTTATTACTTGATAGGGGCCGCCGCAATGTAAGGCAAATAGTTATTGAAGAACCGACTCGAACCACAGCCTTATATAGCTTCCCCTTCCATCAGACGAAGGAAGAAGCCCGGGGGCATTACGCGGAAAGGCTTATGGAAATAAAAGGCACCCACATATGGATGCGTGGCAGAAACAATTATCAAGAACGAAGTAACTTACTTAGCAGAGGCTAACATGGCTCATTGATGATCTCCGTTGCTCAACGAAGTTAATAATTGCAGCTGGCCTCTTAAAGGTAGACATGGATAGATATAGTTGCCTTGTGGTAGGTTAAGTGTAAAACAGCTACAGTACACTAATAATTAAGGATCGATTTCTACCGTAGGTCTGTCTCTCGGTGTGTGTGTATATAACAGATAGAGACGACACTCGACACTCTGTACCACTCTTTGATTATCTCTGTAGTTCGAGGCGATAAAAGGTGATCGATAACGCTGGGGTAAGAGGATCGTGTCACGAAGTAGGTTCGCCTTTTTGCCTGTTCCGGTTCAGGACCTCAGGAACCACGTGATCCACGAATCGTACGTAACTTAGACGTAGACGCAAGGATTCCATTATGTGTACATTAGCTAAGAGATCACGGTACTACGCTGTGGTACAATAAAGAATTAGATGACGGTTGTGACAAGAGTTGTATTGGATTACAGTAACAGGCTACTGCTTATTGGTGAGCGGCGTTGGCCCAAATGAAAGTGGACTACGAGCTCGCATATGACTATCTCTAGGCCATATAGCCAACACAAAAACTTAAGAATACCATTTGATATCTACACGATAGACATTAGTAGACGATGGAATTAGCTTACGTATCGGCCTGTTGTTTTGTATCAGCTATTACTGGACACAAACTTGACTAAAAATAAAAAAAACCTACTAGTAGAAACAGAGGGCAACTTATTGGGCAGAGGCTGCGATGAAAATAAATACTTCTTTCGACATTGAATTTTTCGTACTATTTTATAGTAAATACAAGATACAGCCTTATTTCATTCAACACGAATATGTTATCGTTAAGTTACATGTTGGGGGCCGTGAAACAAATCATTGTGCAAGATTTCCAAATTGTATCGCAATCATCAAACAGAATGAAGACAAAAGTATGGCTTGTTATCATTTGAGATGAAACCTGTCCGGTTGGATAGATGGCTTTCTAAAGAACCCGAAAGCCATTCTGCAGGTTAGCAATAATGTAACTGCTATGGAAAATTTTGACGGCTTTAAGTACGTATACTGCCAGTATATATGAGGTATTTATAAATAAAAACTTATAAGTTTAAAATCAATAATACAAATTTGTCCTTTTTGAAAGGAATAGCTTCATATGCGTTATTCTATAGGTGATATCTGTTTATATTAAGCTATGTATTTTATCATCTACAACTGGTAAGGAGAAACCAGGTTATTTCAAAGTGACTGAAACAAATTCCTCAGATGAATTATTGGCGGAACAGGTTAGGGTTCAAGCAATTGCTCGCCCTATAAGTCATACACAGACGTTTACTTGGACTCTACGAAAAAGGCTGGACTTTCCTTCTCAGTCGACATCTTGTTTGCAACGACTCTCCGAATTATTGTTTGCAATTGTCAAAATGTTAGGTTATTGCCTTTTAAGTCTTACTTGGCATCTTACAAGACGAATTCAGGCCACGATCCTATGTCGCGTGCGACTTCAGCTTCCTTAACAAATGTGTTTAGACATCCAGAGGGTCATGCAGGTTCCGAGTGTTGAGCACTAGCAAATATCAGAAAAACTAAAAACTACGTTAAAAATGCTTAGACTTTATAAGCAAATTTCGCGACTTTTCGTGACCTTACAACAAAAATTAGCCCTTTGCCCTAACTAAAATTAAATTGATCCTATTGATCACCGCTAGTCGCCATCACGGCTCAGAAGAGTGACTGATTTGACGGCGAGCTCGAATGGCAGTTTTGCGTGCAGTTGCGGTCTGATGTTGAAGCTTCGTGACCGCCCCTCTTGATGTGGCAAGGTCAGCAGCATATCGGCAAAACGAAGTACAACCACATGACGCTACCAATAGACCGTATCATCAAACTTTGAAAGATTGCCAAAAATGCTTTACTGTCTATATCAGTGATCTGGTTAGCGCTATGGCTATTTGATTCTGTTTACATAGGGCAATCACCTCTGAATCAAACGGCCTCTAGCAGAGTTTGAGTTAGTTCCCTCCAGAGAATTTTTAGAACCCTAGCTGACTGAATTATCAACGGTATTTAGACCATAGAAAATTCTCTGTGGACTTACGCTGTGTGCTTACGGACTGAACCCATTGAGATAAAGCTGGTTACGGTCGGAGACAAGTAGCTGAAAATGAAATCAACTCCAGGTACGACGCGCATTCAAATTCTATTTTTGACGTTACCTTCGCGTTACCCTTCGAAACCATATTGCACCTCAATTGGCAACAGTTTCTTTTGACTCTATCGAAATATTAAATCACTATTTATGTGTGGTTATTACTATGCTAGAAAAAAAAAAAGCTATAAAGTTAAAAGGTTCTGTGCCAATCTTAACATTTTCAAAAAGAACCGCAGACGGTTGTGTCTTAACGAAAACGCGGTATGTCCTAAACTCATGTGGGCGGGTGATGTCCTATCGCTCTATGAAGCAAGCGGAATATTGGAATATAGAGCGGTCATAAGTAAATATTTACTGAAGCAAAAACTTATCGATATGGTAACTGTACTAATATCGTCGCAAAAATCTTGCGTTAGAAGTTGTATAATAACTGTCTGTGTTCGCTTCTGGACTTAACCTGACCCATATCGGACAGCAGATCAGGCTATCACGTATCAATGTAAGCATGAGGTGAACTAACGGTTATTCTGGGCAGCAACATTGTCTCTTATGTTTGCTAAATGCTCACACCTTGAGAACGTTAGCATTATTGCTCCAACGTGTGTGTCTCGTAACATTCTACATGATGGTAATTTTCCGTCTCAACTACAGAGTGATCTTCTTTTTGCTAGCTTTAATCGTCGAAATTCAGACGCCCAAGTCATTTGTTCTGGATTCGATTCCGAGCACCGATTACCGCGTACCGATCAAACAGTGCGGACAGACAAACTAAATTTTGGCTATGAAGATTTTTCATTTTCGACTGCCCAGAAAATTCCGTCAGGTCTATAAACCTACGAATTCCTAACTATTTTCTGGTCGTACTATCTGGCTTTAGTGATGGAAAGTAACGCGTTCGTCCTAGATCCGTTGTGCTAGCATAACGATTAGACGTACCTTTATTTTGTGTTAGCAATTTATCGATGAAACTAGCTAATACTGAAATAGATTTATCAGTCAGTTTTTGATAAGTGAAGACTTTATTATGTCTTGCAACTCATCTACGTAGCACGTGCGGGGAGCGCGTGCGACGTTGTCGACATTGGTCTTGAAGGCCTCCAGTCCCTTCAGACCCGCTCTAACCTCACAAGTTGACGTAATCGCTCCAAGTTTTACGGCCGACAGCAACGATGATGCCGGCGTTTGATAGTTATAGTCATGAATTGACGCTTTTTTGTGAAATCGTTATTAATTACTACTATCGTTAAATATAGAGATTACTTAAAGCTCGCACTTGTGTTTCTGTTAAAACTTCTAGAGGATCCAGATATCCGAAAAAAGTTAGCGCGTCCTCATATAGAAAAAAAAAAACAATTAGCCTAGCATGCACCTTATCAAAACTGCAAACAAGGGTCATCATTTTCAGATATTTAATATCGACATTTTTGTTTTTATTAAAATAGAGCTCGTGCAAGATGGGATCTATTTGTAGGTGTTCTAATATGCCAATATATTGAATTGGTCTTCATTGATCCTTATAGTTAGGCAACAAAAAGGTCTAATTTAATTCGTAAACTTGAATTCTCCAAAAATCATTCATAATACTACCTACACGAATTAAAGAAATAGTAAATTCTTGCCGAAGTTCTGTTTTTTTTCTAAATGGCAGTTTTTTTTTGGCTCATTGCTTGGTTATAACGGGATTTTATGGGATTTTACAGTATATTGGTTCTACCAAGTGACATTGTGTTCCACTACAGAGGAATGCACAATTTGTGTATAGTCTAGGCTGTATAAATCCAATGTATTAAACACTATTTTATGGCATCCTATGAATACATATCACTGACAGAAAAAACTACCTGTGCCTTATACCCGATTACAGATCCTTGCTAAGCAAATAACCGAGACCTTAGCTAGTATAGAGGATCACTAGACGCAATGCACTATTATAGCCAAAGGCCTTTTGCCTGTTCTTCACCAAACACGCAAAACGATTTGCAGAACCCATTGCACATCGTGCGTTGCTAAATATTCTAGACTTTAGCAATAATATGTGCGATATACTAGCTCAGTCACTGTACCAGACGCATTTATATATTCCCAACTAACCTTAATTCATATATTGTGGAGGTAAGTAACGTCCTGCTTCAAGGTACAGATGTGTTTTAACATGCAGCATCAAATGTATTGGTACTGTACGGATCTGAATGAATATACAATTAAATGTTAAAAATAAATAAAAAAATAAAAATAAAAAAAGCCGGAACCACTGCAAAATGGTAGAAAAATTACTATTTCCTGATAAAAAATTGAATTTCCTGAATAAATAATTTATATTTATATTTATATAATTATATTTATATTAAATTTTGTTAAATTTAATTAAGCAATGATCGTATTCGTAACTAACTATGAAAAAACTACATGTTTAAACAGATAGTACGCTTCAGGTTATTCTATGAAATGTGCCTAGTTTACGACCGCAGCGCAATGGAAAAAGGCTCGACTTGTTATTATCATTAGGTCTTTATTTATCTTTAGGTGACTGAATTTCCAATTGAGGCCCAGCCATAGCTTTTTAATTACTCAGGGTATCATTATAATGTTAGTTTATAGAATAATTACATCTGATC